ACTATCGATGGTCGATGATATCACAGCTTACTTACTGTACATGATGATTTCTGGATCCTGCCCCTCTCCTTTAACCTTCTGCACATATTTGTCCTTGTTGTTAATCAACCAACCGCCCCTCCGATCACATTCAAGTCCGCTTCACATTCTAATGAAGATGTAACGGTCATAAAGATTTAAAGATCAACTGAAAAATGTATTTTGTGGACACAGATTAACTAGTCTATATGTTTCTCGGGATGTTTAATTTTAAAGTAGTAGGGTCTATATTAATAACGGAAACCATCAATCCAATTGACAGTGATGGCCAGATATGGTTTACTGACCGTTTATAACAAATCGCTCGCATGGGTGATATATTATTCCGTTCGAATTTCATTCAATTTAAAGCCTTTATTCTGTCATTCTATTCATTGCATTGATTGGGTATGAACATAAATAATTAAATTAAATATGAGGGTCACAATATGTCGTGATTAGCCTCCATTTTCTACTATTCACTGAAAATCATGTGGATAATATAAGTCAATATTCACTGCAATGATTTGACGCACAAAATTCCAATCCTGAGCAACAATATGATTTATGAATTTGAAGCTAGATCATTGTGTCTCCAGTCAAAAACCCGCATGAAGCCATGATGTCCCGGTATTTCTATCGAGCCGCAGGCAAGCGTGCACTTCACATTCTTACCGTTCTGCGAGGAGACCAAACGTAGAATCAGTACGCCAATGAACGCCACCGAGACCGACATCATTTCTACTCTTCTTTTTCCAGCTAGCATCGACTCGTGTGGAAGATGGTAGATGCCCGTGGCGGGGAAAGTGGGTGGTGTGGCCTGAATGATGGTGTGAGGGGATCGGGTTACCGGGTAGATATTCTCCAATCAGGTCACGCAAAAACAGCGGCGCGCTCGCTCACCAGAAGGGTGCTGACGCCACCTGGGCAGTGCCGGTGCGCGGTGATGAAATGGTCAGTGCTATCCGGTATCCTTGGGACGTCCCTACCCTAAACCTTAACACCTGCTCTTACCCTTACCTTAACCTTACCCATTTCACATTTCAACTGCAATGGGGGGGGGGGGGGGGGGGGGTTGAGACGTCCCAAGGATCCCCGATAGCACAGACCGTGATGAAATCATTCCAAGCAACCACCTTTCTCATCCACGATGACAAATCCCCGGAGATCATTTCTTGTAGGCTGCCCACACAACTCATACAGAAATATTTGCCGTCTACATGTGCCAAATTTCCTTCCGTAGGAAGGAAGGGGAAAATGTCATGAATATCCATGAGTCTTGACATAGAACCCGTCGGTTGATTGGTTTAGCCTTCTTTGAGTGCAGCCCTTACCAGAACATAAAACATGGCGGACAATTTCTCTCCCCTTGGATCTGAAGCCAGTAGTAACCACCAACTTCAATCATAGTTATTATTAACATACAATTGAAATAAGAATCTAACATTGTAGCCGAGGAGGGCATGCTAGCTAGCTACCCTGTTTGATTCATATCAGCCATTTTCTTATGAAACAGCTCAACTAGCTAGACTCGGGACATAGATAGGCTTCAGGAGCCAGCGGGTTAACTAGTTATTATTCCACCATGGGCAACAACAACAACAACAAGTTACTAGTTCGTTTTCAACTATATATGTTTAACTCATAGCTAGTTTATTTAGTGACCACCGCATTTAGAAGGATATAAACTGACTGAACTCTAGTTAGCTGGCTGGCCAGCTAGCATGCAAGCTCATACTGGCCATGCAGTAGCCAATACCAGACCGTTTGTGGAAAGGTAAAAATAACAATTAATTTTTTGAATGATCGGACAGTGAAACTAAAATAGATTGTTAGCTAGCTGGTGAGGGTTTAATTTATTTCCCAATTCATTTGGTGATCAAGCTGAAGCTGGGTTCCCCAAGTCGTTCGGTCGGTGCTAACTGCTCATGTCATGCCGGCAGTGTTGCCAGTTCAAAGATGTCTAGCCTAACCACTCAAAACCCGCCCACAAGGCCTGAAAACTGGCCCAAAAGAATTTTCGCAGCAAGAGAGGAGTTGCCACATTTAACGGACACACAGACACCTGGCTAAGCCCTGACCTCAGTTTGCAGCCAGGCTTTACTGGGACTTTTAATCCTATTTCACTGTCAACTCAGCCATACAACAGCATTAGGACATGGTGGCAGTCAGTCAAGCAAATGATTGATCTTATTTCGTGTCTGAATTACCCAAAAAATTCTCTCTCTCCTAGGCTAAATGATAAACACTAGGCCTACTGTTAACCCTTCATGTTATCTTTACATGACCTTCCATTGCTTTTTGACCATCCCTGAAATAATTAGGCCTACAATTTCAAGATCACAAGAAGGTCAAATTGAAAGCCTAGGTTGAAAGGCATGACAGAAAGCTTTCAACACAAATGTGGCCATATGTATACAGTACAAGCATGAATCGATTCATTGCTGCCATAATTCAGGTAATCCAGCAAAAAATAAATAACCAATTTGTAGTCTATCTGAATGTTGTCGGAGCGTTCCTAATACAGTACAGTTCTGCTGCCCCCTAATGTACAGATACTGTAGATGACCCCGGCACTGATGACAGTATATGATACATAATACTACTTATGTTTGTTATTTACCACAAAAAAAAACTATTTTTCTCAATTGAAGCTGACGTTTATATCAACGAGAAGCATCTAAAAAAAATAAAAATACAACGGAAATACCAAATACACCAAATCACCTAGTCATTTTCGATTAAAAAAAGAATAAATTGACTGTCCAATCGATGATACCAATCATGGACGCTATATTAGACAATCAGTGATAAACACAACACAACGAAGAGTAGCTGCTGCCTTGGCATGTAACGGTCTGCCTTGGCAGCAGCTAATGGGGATCCATAATCAATACAAATACAATACTACTGCATATACATGTCCAGATATAGTTGTATGTATTTTTTTTTATGGATCTAATAAAAACGTATTTGAATGTTATGGTCATTACTAATGTATCCACATTGTATAAAATATATTACATTTCTATATGACTGTTAGGTGGTCTACTATAGAGTTTCATTTAAACCACATTTGCCTTTGTTTTAACATTTTAAAGCATATTTTCAGTTAGCGTTCCTTGACTAACTAGTTAGATCAACAAGATCCACATAATAATAATAATAATATGCCATTTAGCAGACGCTTTTATCCAAAGCGACTTACAGTCATGTGTGCATACATTTTTACATATGGGTGGTCCCGGGGATCGAACCCACTACCCTGGCGTTACAAGCGCCGTGCTCTACCAATTGAGCTACAGAGGACCACACCATATGCTATGGGACTTACAGTAGCGAGTGAAAGTCTACACACCCCTTGCACAGTCTTCACATTTTGCTGCCTTAAAATTAAATCTCAAATGCTTACGTTTTTTCCCCCTACTGATCTACGCAACCTACTACACACCCTACTATACAACCTATTACACATTGTCTTTGGCATTAACATTTTTTGTTATTGTCCCACTGAAAAAATACAACTCTATCCCAGGGTTAGGTATTCAGAAGACTGAGGCAGGGTTTCCTCTAACTTTTTACCTGGGCTTTGCTCCTTTCATATTTATTTTGATCCTGACAAACTCCCTAGTCCCTGCCGGTGACAAGCATACCCATAACATGATGCTGCCACCACAAAACTTGACAATACAGAAGGTTTCACTCTGTATTGTGTTGTATTGGATTTGACCCAACCCTCTAGTTTAAAACAAATAAAACATGTAGTTTTACATTTTCCTTTACCATGTTGTCTAGCAGTATTACTTGACTGCCTTTTTGCAAACAGAATTAATGATTTGGAGTGGATTTTTCCAACACAGGCTTCCTTCTTTTCACTTTGTCATATAGGCCAGTAATGCGGAGTGAAAGTAATGTTGTTGATCCTCTGTATTAACAAATATTGTGGTGGCAGCATCATGTTATGGGTCTGCTTGTCACTGGCAGGGACTGGGGAGTTTGTCAGGATCACATTAAATATGAAAGGAGCAAAGCCCAGATAACATTTTAGTCATTTAGCAGACGCTCTTATCCAGAGCGACTTACAGTTAGTGAGTGCATACATTCTTTTTTTTATACTGGCCCCCCATGGGAAACAAACCCACAACCTTGGCGTTGCAAATGCCATGCTCTACCAACTGAGCCAAATCCCTGCCGGCCATTCCCTCCCCTACCCTGGGCCAATTGTGCGCTGCCCCATGGGTCTCCCGGTCGCGGCCGGCTACGACAGAGCCTGGATTCGAACCAGGATCTCTAGTGGCACAGCGATGCAGTGCCTTAGACCACTGCGCCACTCGGATAACCTTATAGTTTCTCCTTCACTTTAGAAATGTGGAATCAGTAGGAAAAAAATCGAATTTAACAAAATGTTTAGATTTTCTTTTAAGGCAGCAAAATGTGAAGACTGTGCAAGAGGTGTGTAGACTTTCACTAAGCACTGTATGCTTCCATCCACAATATATATTACATATTTTAAATGTCAACCCTCCACATATATAATACAGTATGCATACAACATTCCAGATTCACATCCGCATACAGTATACAGGTGTAGGATCTTAATTTGATCACCCTGTTGTTGCAGGAGATGTCGTGCTCAGCAGGAAATTCAATGTCAGACTTGATTTGCCCTAACTAAAAATGTATCAGCCGATACAAAAATATCCATTAATTATAATCCACACAATAATTCACATTTCCTGTTGCTGCAGGATTATTTTCCTGCTGTGAGAAACTAGGCAAATTAAGATCCTACACCTGTAGAGACATCACATTCCCGTGACATAAACTTTCCCTCCACTCTATAGCACCCTCCCTCTCTTGGGGTCTCAGGGAGGGTTCATCTCCCTGGACACCGTGTCTGTCAGCCCCACAGGGCCAATGGGTTGTATAAACCCAGACACAGCTGCTACGCCTTCCTTTGATGTCAACCAATGAGACCAGAAATGTGTACTCTGTGCCTTGAGGGGCAAAGCCTTCCCACAAAACCAGTGTTAACCATGCATCACTGGAGCTCCTGCATGTCTAAATATTCCACAACCTCTCTCCTCTCTCAGACTTCTCAGTCTCTGTTCACACTTTATGTAGTGTCATCTAGTATGGAAAGGAGGCAACAATGGCTCTCCCGACTGAAGAGTGAATTCGGCAACAGCCCCCTGGTCTCCAACGTGGCTTTCGGCTTCATCCTGATGGGCTTGGAGAAGCTGGTTGAGCTGGAGTTCGAGTGTCCCTGCGACCCCAAATGGAACGGGCTGTTTTCCTCCGCCTTCTTCGTCATTCCTGCCATCATGGCCTTTATGCTGATGCTGATCATCCAGGACTGCAGGTACGATCTGAGCGGCTGCCCCAGGACGGTGTCCATCTCCAGCCTGGTCCCCCCCATCGTCTGGCTGATCCTGCTCTTCCTGGACGGACAGTACTTTGCGTGCGCGCTAACGGACTGGAGCGGCAGGTTTGTGATTGTTGACAAGGCGGCTCCTCAGAAGTGGTGTGAGCCGCCGCATGACGACGGCACGCTGCAGGATCTCATGGTGCACTCTCAGGAATTATTTGTGGAGTCTCAGGTGAGGAAAACACACTGGGATCAGTTTCCCAGATGAAGATTATTCCTTGTCCTGGACTAAAACACACTTTCAATGGAGATTTTCCAATGAGAATGATTTTTAATCAAGGACTGTGCTTAATCTGGGTCTGGGAAACCGGCCCCTGATAATTATTGTTGGTGTCTGTGCCATTAAGCAAAGTAAAGTACTGGTAAAACAGAAAAAAATTATGTCATAAACTCAAAATAAGTGTTCATGATGAATAGCTCTTGTTTTTTGTGTATTGTGTGTATATACTGAACCTGCTTATTCTTCCATGACCCTTGAACCTTGTACATGTGGGGTGGCAGGTAGCATAGAGGGGTGGGCCAGACAACTGGAGATTCGCCGGTTCGAATCCCAGGTCCAACTGGAAACATTTCCTATATACCGTATCCTGACATTGTGCCCTTGAGCAATGCACTTAGGCATTGCTGCACCGTGCTTGACCCTGTGCTTTCATGCTATCTGGGTGTATGCCTTGGTTTTCCTGGGGAGGGGGGGGCGTTGACTTGTAAGCAAGAAAACACATTTCTGTTTTCCATGTAATACACGGGATACGAACCCTGGTCTCCCACGGGAGTAACCAACATCTTAGACTAAGAGGAAATTCCCTATTGGCACACCCGTCGCTATGGGCGGGCCATAGGGGGCCGGGCCCGCCCCCCAAAATGCTTGTGCCCCCCCCCCACTTGAGGGAATTTATAATTAAATATACGTACTGTAGGCTAATAATAATTGTGCCCTGCCCTCCCATGCATTTCATATGCCCCCCTTAAGACTGAGGTCTGGCGACGGGTCTGCCTATTGGGCACTGGGCACACTCGTTTTGAAGTTCACAGGCAGAGTCACCTCATCACGTGACCATGACCGACTCATGTCCACTACGTCCACAAGATGTATTTTCTTCTAATGAAGTCTTCTTCTTCTAGGTTATTGGTATTGCTCTGTTGATCTTCATCTGTGTGGGACTCATAGTGTACGTGATCAGAGAGAGCTGCCAGCAGGAAGAGGAACTCCAGGAAGTCAACAACACTTACGAGATGTATGAGATGACATGACTTTGACAACATAATTACGCCAACACCTGTTTTTTGAAGCTATGGGAGAGAATGCATAATGTTACCTCTCCAAGGAGAAAGTGCATTGCTTAATGTTTTCTCTCCAAATGCCTCAAGACTGCAATACCTTATTGTCTCTCCAGCAACTTCTAAAAGGAAGGGAACACTGCCGGTACCTCCCTCTCCAACCAAGGTGCAAACAGAGGAGAGGAGGAAATTCGCCAACTCTTGGTGGACAGTCAAAGGTGATAGAAATGCTTGTTCTTGTTAAAACCAACACGTTTTGGCCTGTAGCCTTCTTCAGGGTCCAGTGACTTTTACTTTTACCTTTCCTGCAAACTGTACATTGACGTTATACTTTGGAAATTATACTTTTCTGATGAACAGTTTTTTAAAGTAGCGAGAGGGGGGGGTGGGATTTCTGTTGGTCTAGCTGCACATTAGAAATGTTCTCTGTAGGTGTCAAAATGTATCCACTTTTTTAAAATATTAAAATGTGTTAAGGTATGGTCACGTTTGTATGTAAGGTAGCTATAGAAACTAATAGATTCATTTTTCCTCATTTCTGATAGATCTGGTCAGGTTGCGTTGACATCAACTGCCCAGCTATCATTTATACTAAACTAAAAGATCAAATAGGAACTTTTACAAACATCGGTAGAGATGATGTGTTTATTCCAGTAAGGGATGTCTGTACCTCTCTTTGCCAAACAGCAGATGGGACTCACACACTATCTGGCACACCTTCTGAGACCCAGCAGGGGCTGTGGACACAGACAGATAGCGGACAGAAATATCGACTCGCAGTTTTGACCCAAACCCTGGTTACTGGGCTGTCTATGTGTCACCTCTTGTCTTGAGCTTGGCCACATTGTGGACATCCTCAGGCCGGGACAAGGGTACAGAGTAACGAAGGCCATTTCCCTTGGGTGAGTTAGTCTGTGTGCTCAGGGGATTATGACGATTTAGCAAGTCATCATTGGTCCCAGCACAGAACATCCGGCATGGAACAGACCTGATACTGTGGGAGTCAAAGGTCAGGGAGTACCTCGTTACGCAGTTTCTGATTGGCTCAGACAGAGCTCTGTCACTGCTGTGATGGGTGGGTTCAGACCTCCTTGACAAGGTTGTCCAGGGACTGATGTCTGGAGTGATAGACACTGCATCCTGGCTATTGTCTACTGGGGCAGTTTGTTATCAACATGCCCCCAGTAAGGATAGAATTGTTAGGGTTCAAATATTCATAGAAACATAAGGGTAGTGAATGCACCCAACCTTGTCCCAGATCTGTTTGTGCTGTCTTGCCAACTCTTAAAGACCATAGAAGCTGGCAAGAAAGCACAAACAGATCTGGGACCAGGCTACGTACTATTCTAAAAATGTGAAAGTTCAAAGTCAACAGTGTGGTCTTTTTTGAGTTAACATCAACATAATAACAAAGTAACTTACAAAGGAAGATGGCTTTGCAGAGTACACCAGGCGTTCCACCCCTCCGGGCAAAAAAGCTGGGTCTTCTTCGAGAACATCTGAGCATCGTCCAAATGTGACAACACTTCCCCAGAAAGCGCTCAATGTTTTATATCCACTCCCTCATTGTTGAGAAAGTATTTTGATTGGAAATAATGTTGACCGCTTAAATGACTGGAGAAATGACAACACTTCAAGTTGCTCTGTAATAAATCTCAGAGATATTACAGTTACCACTATGCTATCTTACATCACAATAACTGTCCACCACGGTATTAGTTTGTATAGTGTTAAGTAAAATAAATGGATTGCCCATGACCTCTGAAGCAGCCATATGGTTACAATGATCCTCACAGCAGAAGATTACTTCCCTTTTAGTGACAGAATGTCTGCCGATCGTAATGGATACAATGAATAAGGTCATCATGATCTTTTGTCACTGTCTCTTGAGTATACTGCATTAGCATTTTCAAAAATCCATACGTTCGAGAAAATTCAGAATGACATATTTTTTTTAATTAAAATTGTTTTTATATTGATAAAATATTAATTTTATGGATACAATATGAATGGTATTGATCATTTGCTGATTGATCAATGAAGATAATATATTCATATCTCAAAACATGACTTTATCACTTTTCACTTTACTCCTACAAAACACCTTACGCGAAACACATCTTACGTCTGCCAGGCAAACCAGGGTTACGAGCAACACACACATCAGCAGAGTCGCCATCACATCAACCGAGTGGCACATAATCCAGGACATTTTATAGGACTCTGTCCTCAGGTGACGAGCTCCTTTATGTCTCTTAACGAAGTCGATCCAGAACACTGCCTTGTCCAGCGGTTTAATGGGTTGGTCTCTGTGCAGTCTGGAGCAGCACAGCCTCCTGGAACACGCCCAGTCTGGAGCAGCACAGCCTCCTGGAACACGCCCAGTCTGCAGCAGCACAGCCTCCTGGAACACGCCCAGTCTGGAGCAGCACAGCCTCCTGGAACACGCCCAGTCTGGAGCAGCACAGCCTCCTGGAACACGCCCAGTCTGCAGCAGCACAGCCTCCTGGAACACGCCCAGTCTGGAGCAGCACAGCCTCCTGGAACACGCCCAGTCTGGAGCAGCACAGCCTCCTGGAACACGCCCAGTGACGATGTCAACCATTTTAGCTGCTCCCCTCCCCTTTGCCTTGGAGAGGTTGTCGGGCGGGTCGAAGGCGAGAGGGAGGACACAGTGGTAGATGGCCTCCTGGACTCCGTTGGTTCCTCCGTGGGCTACGAAAGGCGCAGGCCTTGGGGTGTCCCAAAAGGTCCTTCTGGGGGAGTCAGTTCACCAGTAGGGTGTCGTTAACCAAGGTGGAGGGTCGCTGTCCGGTGTACATGAGGATCACAAGAGAATCACAATGAGAATACAAGTGTGTGAAAATATAAGTCTGTAGACTTTTTTTTTTAAGCCTATAGGCCCAGACACAGATAAAGCCTAGTCCTGAACCAAAAATCTGAATGGAGAATAATCATTTAAAAATTTTTTTTACTTCTTAGTCCAGGACCAGGCATAATCTGTGTTTGGTCATTTTATCCAATTAATTAATTAATTAATTCAAGGATCTATCCATTCATCCATACCTCCAGATTACCTCCTGAGGCAGCCGGGCGAACGCAGCAGCGATCTCGTCTGCGATGTCTTCAGGGAGCTCTGCCACTAAAGTCCCTACAGTCATTATGACAACCCCATGCTCTCTGAAACTCTGAACAAACTCCTCCAGGTCCTGTGGGAAGAGGCACTGGAACCCACCCATGTAGACCACATTCGGCATGAGCCAGATATTGGCTTCCTGGAGGAAGGCGTTGTAATCGACGTCAGGGCTGATGTAAAGCTGGACTATCGGTTTGTACCGGGTTCTATGATATTTGCCATGGTGTTCAGTGCCTTCAGAAAGTATTCACACTCCCTTGCCTTTTTCAACATTTTGTTGTGTTACAGCCTGAATTTAAAATTGATTACATTTAGATTTTTTATCACTGGCCTACACACAATACCCCATAATGTAAAAGTGGAACAGTGTTTTTTGAAACTTTTACAAATTAATTACAAATGAAAAGCTGAAATGTCTTGAGTCAATAAGTATTCAACCCCTTTGTTATGGCAAGCCTAAATAAGTTCAGAAGTAAAAATGTGCTTAACAAGTCACATAATAAGTTGCATGGACTAACTCTGTGTGCAATAATAGTGTTTAATATGAATTTTGAATAACTACCTCATCTCTGTACCCCACACAAACAGTTATCTGTAAGGTCCCTCAGTCGAGCAGTGAATTTCAAGCACAGATTCACCCACAAAGACCAGGGAGGATTTCCAATGCCTCGCAAAGAAGGGCACCTATTAAAAAAGCAGACATTGAAAGTCCCTTTGAGCATGGTAAAGTTATTAATTACACTTTGGATGGTGTATCAATACACTCAGTCACTACAGAAATACAGGCGTCCTTCCTAACTCAGTTGCCGGAGAGGAAGGAAACCACTCAGGGATTTCACCATGAGGCCTATGGTGACTTACAGAGTTTAATAAATATAATAGGAGAAAAATGAGGATGGATCAACAACATTGTAGTTCCTCCACAATACTAACCTAATTGACAGAATGAAAAGAAGAACGCCTGTACAGAATGAAAAATATTCCAAAACATGCATCCTGTTTACAATAAGGCACTAATAGGTCCCCTGTAGCTCAGTTGGTAGAGCATGGCGCTTGCAATGCCAGGGTTGTGGGTTCATTTCCCACGGGGGGCCAGTATGAAAAATGTATGCACTCACTAACTGTAAGTCACTCTGGATAAGAGCGTCTGCTAAATGACTAAAATGTAAATGTAAAGTAATACTGCAAAATATGTGGCAAAGCAATTACATTTTTCTCCTGAATCCAATGTGTTATGTTTGGGGCAAATCTAATACAACACATTATTGAGTACCACTCTCCATATTTTCAAGCATAGTGGTGGCTGCATCATGTTATGGGTATGCTTTTAATCGTTAAGGACTGGGGAGTTTATCAGGATGAAAAAAAACGGAATGGAGCTAAGCACAGGCAAAATCCTAGAGGAAAACCTGGTTCAGTCTGCTTTCCACTAGACACTGGGAGAGGTATTCACCTGTCAGCAGGACAATAACCTAAAACACAAGGCCAAATCTACACTGGAGTTGCTTACCAAGAAGACAGTGAGTGTTCCTGAGTGGCCGAGTTACAGTTTTGACTTGACAATCTATGGCAAGACCTGAAAATGGTTGTCTAGCAATGATCAACAACTAATTTGACAGAGCTTGAAGAATTTTGAAAAGAATAATGGGCAAATGTTGGATAATCCAGATGTGGAAAGCTCTTAGAGACTTACCCAGACTCACAGCTATAATCACTGCCAAAGGTGATTCTAACATGAATTGACTCAGGGGTGTGAATACTTATTTAATCAAGATCTATTAGTGTTTTCTATTTCTTATTTTCTTTCACTTTGACATTGAAGTATTTTGTGTAGATGATTGACAAAAAAAAGTACAATTAAATCCATTTTGATACCACTTTGTAACACAACAACATTTGGAAAAAGTCAAGGGGTGTGAATACTTTCTGAAGGCACCGTATGTCCCAAGAATGTAAGCTATGACGTTGGTGACTCTGGGGGAATGTCATCTTGTCTGTCAACTCTGTGGGTGTGAATGGGACGTAGGAGAGAGGCAACGGGGTGATGACCAAATGAGCTTCACCTTGGATGGTCCATCTGACATTGTATACCGGAGGAAGATCGTCCCTCCACCAATCCCAGGATCCATCAGAACCAAGTCATCCTTCCATCCTGGAAAGAATGGATCAACTCGTGGTCTTCAATCATTTCAGTCATGTTCTTGTGGAACCCGAATAAAGTGTCCTCGACTGAAGCATGATTTTCAGATGTTTACTTAATATAAATTTACCAAATAATAATATGCCATTTAGCAGACGCTTTTATCCAAAGCGACTTACAGTCATGCGTGCATTCATTATTTAATTTTTTTGTGTATGGGTGGTCCCGGGGATCGAACCCACTACCTTGGCGTTACAAGCGCCGTGCTCTACCAGCTGAGCTACAGAGGACCAATACGTTTTCATGGAAGCCACCAGTGTTAGGGATGGTGGTGGAGGTGTAGTGGGGGGGTATTCTCCTTGATGTACCAGTGGTTTGACGCTCGCATGTGATGAGATGGCCTTTGGAATGCAGCTCTTCCATGATGCTCTCTCATGGTGACCCAGTGGCTTCCGTCCAATAGGTACACCAGGATTTTACCCCTATAGACGCTATTGGACAGGGTGACGAGCAGTACAGCCAATGAGATCAGGGTTGGTTGATACAGTGAGGGAAAAAAGTATTTGATCCCCCGCTGATTTTGTACGTTTGCCCACTGACAAAGAAATGATCAGTCTATAATTTTCATGTTAGGTTTATTTGAGCAGTGAGAGACAGAATAATAACAAAAAAATCCAGAAAAACACATGTCAAAAATGTTATAAATTGATTTGCATTTTAATGAGGGAAATAAGTATTTGACCCCCTCTCAATCAGAAAGATTTCTGGCTCCCAGGTGTATTTTATACAGGTAATGAGCTGAGATTAGGAGCACTCTCTTAAAGGGAGTGCTCCTAATCTCAGCTTGTTACCTGTATAAAAGACACCTGTCCACAGAAGCAATCAATCAATCAGATTCCAAACTCTCCACCATGGCCAAGACCAAAGAGCTCTCCAAGGATGTCAGGGACAAGATTGTAGACCTACACAAGGCTGGAATGGGCTACAAGACCATTGCCAAGCAGCTTGGTGAGAAGGTGACAACAGTTGGTGTGATTATTCGCAAATGGAAGAAACACAAAAGATCTGTGTTTCTTCCTCTATGGGGCCAAAGTAATCTATGCCCACATGGGTGAAAGGCGGCAAATCAGGTGCTACCCGATCTTGTGGAAGGTCAGCCATCTTCTGTTCCCCAGCTCTAGCTTGCATCCGCCTGCAGAAGACACAGCTCTTCACCTCTATGGGGCCAAAGTAATCTATGCCCACATGGGTGAAAGGCGGCAAATCAGGTGCTACCCGATCTTGTGGAAGGTCAGCCATCTTCTGTTCCCCAGCTCTAGCTTGCATCCGCCTGCAGAAGACACAGCTCTTAAGGATCTTCCTTGCTAAGGAGTTGGCACAGGGTATCCAATATCGCTGGCGAAGTCTAGAAAGCATGTGACCTCTCCCAGAGTGGCCAACCTGCTCATGGATGTGGAGTAAGATCAGTCTGGAGATGTAGGAGTCTTTGGGCAGGATCATAGGATTCTTTAGTTCCGTAGGCATAGCAGCTTTGCTTAACCTTCCTCCTACTCTCAGAATGCCATTGTCAACTATTGGATCAAGCTTACAGATTGAGCCGCTTCTCTTGGCACATTGTTTTCCTTTTACAACTAGTGCAATTTCTTGTTTAAAGTGCTGTCGTTGCTCAAATCGAATGATGACCTTTTCTGCTTCATCTAGGTCATCTACAGACAGACTTTCTTTTCCAAACGTCAGTTTGAACTTGTCAATTTGTTCCTTCAGTGAGTTTGTCAGACTCTGATCTGATCCTGGATCAGTTTGGGTGAGAACTTTCCTTTTCTGGCTTAACTGTAGTAGAAGTCTCTTCAGTTTCAGCATCCAGGCAACTGCTTTCTTCAAGCTGTTCCATGTTGAATAGTACTCAATCAGTTTGCTGGTCGGACTCTTTTCTTCCACACATGTACTGTTTACGATGACGTCTTTTCTCACCTCTGGATCATCTGGAGGGATGGAGCCAAGCTCCTCGGGGACTTTCGGCCATTGTGTTTCTGTTTTCTCCAGGAATTCTGGTCCTTTGCGCCATCTCTTTGAGTTCAGGAAAGTTTCAACATGTAATCCTCTTGAGGCATCATCGGCTGGGTTGTGTTTGGAGTTCAAATACCTCCACTGTTTTGCTTTCGATAGGTCACGGATCATAGCAACCCTATTAGCCACAAAAGTATGGAATCTCTTGGTATCGTTGCGGATGTATTTTAGCACCGACTGGCTGTCTGTCCAGAAAGTTGACTCCTCAAGTTCAATCTGGAGCTCCAACCTTAACATCCCTCAGCCTGGGGCTCCATGCAAGATCTCACCTCGTGGAGTTGCAATGATCATGAGAACGGTGAGGAATCAGCCCAGAACTACATGGGAGGATCTTGTCAATGATCTCAAGGCAGCTGGGACCATAGTCACCAAGAAAACAATTGGTAACACACTACGCCCGCAAGGTCCCCCTGCTCAAGAAAGCACATATACATGCCCGTCTGAAGTTTGCCAATGAACATCTAAATGATTCAGAGGAGAACTGGGTGAAAGTGTTGTGGTCAGATGAGACCAAAATCGAGCTCTTTGGCATCAACTCATCTCACTGTGTTTGGAGGAGGAGGAATGCTACCTATGACCCCAAGAGCACCATCCCCACCGTCAAACATGGAGGTGGAAACATTATGCTTTGGGGGTGTTTTTCTGCTAAGGGGACAGGACAACTTCACCGCATCAAAGGAACGATGGACAGGGCCATGTACCGTCAAATCTTGGGTGAGAACCGCCTTCCCTCAGCCAGGGCATTGAAAATGGGTCGTGGATGGGTATTCCAGCATGACAATGACCCAAAACACACGGCCAAGGCAACAAAGGAGTGGCTCAAGAAGAAGCACATGAAGGTCCTGGAGTGGCCTAGCCAGTCTCCAGACCTTAATCCCATAGAAAATCTGTGGAGGGAGCTGAAGGTTCGAGTTGCCAAACGTCAGCCTCGAAACCTTAATGACTTGGAGAAGATCTGCAAAGAGGAGTGGAACAAAATCCCTCCTGAGATGTGTGCAAACCTGGTGGCCAACTACAAGAAACGTCTGACCTCTGTGATTGCCAACAAGGGTTTTGCCACCAAGTACTAAGTCATGTTTTGCAGAGGGGTCAAATACTTATTTCCCTCATTAAAATGCAAATCAATTTATAACATTTTTGACATGCGTTTTTCAGGATTTTGTTGTTGTTATTCTGTCTCTCACTGTTCAAATAAACATACCATTAAAATTATAGACTGATCATTTCTTTGTCAGTGGGCAAACGTACAAAATCAGCAGGGGATCAAATACTTTTTTCCCTCACTGTAAGTAAAAAATAAAATAAAAAAATTATTAAAGAGCAGCAGTAAAATAAAATAACAGTAGGGAGGCTATATACAGGGGGTACCGGTACAGAGTCAAGGTTCACATAAAATAAAATAAAAATATGCATGTATTGATCTGAGTTCATGCAATGATGATGGCTTGCACCTAGGTAGCTTGGTAATATGTACAGAGAACAGTCTATGACTAGTGTGGCTGGAGTCTGATCATTTTTAGGGCTTTCCTCTGACACTGCCTGGTATAGAGGTCCTGGATGGCAGGAAGCTTGGCCCCAGTGATGTTCTGGGCCGTACGCACTACCCTCTGTAGTGCCTTGCGGTCGGAGGCCGAGCAGTTGCCAAACCAGGTGGTGATGCAACCAGTCAGGATGCTCTCAAAGGTGCAGCTGTAGAACTTTTTGAGGATCTGAGGACCCATGCCAAATCTTTTCAGTCTCCTGAGGGGGAATAGGCTTTGTCGTGCCCTCTTCACGACTGTCTTGGTGTGTTTGGACCATGATAGTTTGTTGGTGATGTGGACACCAAGGAACTTGAAGCTCTCAACCTGTTCCACTACAGCCCCGTCGATGAGAATGGGGGCGTGCTCAGTCCACAATCATCTCCTTTGTCTTGATCACGTTGAGGGAGAGGTTGTTATCCTGGCACCACACAGCTAGGTCTCTGACCTCCTCCCTATAGGCTGTCTCATCGTTGTCTGTGATCAGGCCTACCACTGTTGTGTCGTCAGCAAACTTAATGATGGTGTTGGAGTCATGCCTGGCCATGCAGTCATGGGTGAACAGGGAGTCCAGGAGGGGACTGAGCACGCACCCCTGAGGTGCCCCCGTATTGAGGATCAGCGTGGCAGATGTGTTGTTACCTACCCTTACCACCTGGGGGCGGCCCGTCAGGAAGTCCAGGATCCAGTTGCAGAGGGAGGTGTTTAGTCCCAGGGTCCTTAGCTTAGTGATGAGCTTTGAGGGCACTATGGTGTTGAACGCTGAGCTGTAGTTAATGAATAGCATTCTCACGTAGGTGTTCCTCTTGTCCAGGTGGGAAAGGGCAGTGTGGAGTGCAATAGAGATTGCATCATCTGTGGATCTGTTGGGGCAGTATGCAAATTGGAGTGGGTCTAGGGTTTCTGGGATAATGGTGTTGATGTGAGCCATGACCACTCATGTCATAAAATGAATTGGGACTGTAGAGTATGAGTATTAGATTTATATGTAGACCTTCACATTAAGAGATTTCATAAGATAGACCTCAGAATTGTATTGAATAAAGGCACCCCCACCCCCCTCTTTCATAAACACCGGCAACACATTATTAATTGGACCTGTGGTGATGTAATGTTTTTTCACCACAAGGCAATTGAGCACAGAGGATAAATGGAGAGAGAGAGATCACAACCCGCTAACGTTCAACCCACCATCCGTTCAACGTTTTGTTTAGTAGCATACTTTACTACCTCACTTTAGATTCATACCATTGGTAGAGGGTGGCAGCACACTTCACAGATTTTCTCAGTTTAATGTGACATTCAGTTTAGGGACATGCATAATGTTAGATGTTGTCAATTCTAGTTTAGGGAACATGCATAATGTTACATGTTGTTAATTCAAAGTTTGTCCATCACAAAATATCTCTTTACCGAACACGGTCAATTCAAAGCATCTTCCTCAGCCTACAGCAGTCAGACACTGCTCTATCACAACTGAACACACGCACTCTTCCTTGAGCTATTGACTCCCCCCATATAATGTTGTCAGAAATCCCGGATCGTCTGTTTCATTCAGTAAAGTCCTTCAGATCATTTCACGAGGCGAGGTGGGACGGCTTGGTCGCTGAAGAGGAACCGCCTGGTGTTGAAAGACAGGTTGGAGGAAGATCCCGTCTTTTGAACCATATTTTAAAGCTATACATTATTTGTTTACATGGATAATTATTTTTCAAACAATGGAATAAAATAACTTTTGTATTTTGTTTTGTAAAGTGGTTAAATCCTTCAGATGAGGTCCCTTGGTGCGGTGGGGCTGCTGGGCTGCTGGATGGGAATGGCCTGGTGCTGGAAGAAGGGTTGGAGGAAGAGTCCCACAGTACCGGCTATACAGCCTATTGCAAAGATCCACAGGAACATCCGATCCAATACCATCGCCACGTACTTCCAGTCCTCAATCACCTGGAGAACACAGGGTCAGAAAAGGAGAGAGAACAGTCTAGAAAGAGAGACTAGAATGTTGGGGACTAAAGAAGCATGGTTAGACACTCATCCATCCACTCATCCATCCACTCATCCATCCACTCATCCATTCATCCGTCCATCCATCCATAACACATCATGTGAAAAAGAGAGAGAATGATCAACTGTACAAAATGCTGCAGCAGAACGTTTAATATTATTAGTTCATCAATATCAGAGCTGTAGCTCCGCCCACAGGTATTTGTATTTATTATGGATCCCCATTAGGTGTTGCCAAGGCAGCAGCTACTCTTCCTGGGGTCCAAACACATTAAGGCATTTACATTACACATCAAACAAAAGACTGGGCTGAAGAGCATTGAAGGTCAATCTCCAGCTGGACAGAAGAACGCAACAGAAAGAGACAGATTTCAGTAGTTATGTTGGACAGAAAAGTAGCCTTTTCTCTCTTACCATTTTTTTTAACATTCTGACCATCAAATCTTATTGTGTTCAGATTTTTTTGCATTTACGACGTGGTAACACGATAACCCCATTTTTTGTTGTTGCAGCAAACAAAAACAACAATTCAAATAAGACTCACAGTCTCGTTGTTGTCGTCTCCAGCCATGTAGTTAGCGACGTATCGCACGCCGTCCAAAGCTTCCTGTAGCTCAGGACTGTGACTGATGTCAGAGCTGGAACTGCCACGCCGCGGCTGAGCGTACAGCTGCTCCATGGGAAGCAACCCCTCTGGTGTCCCCACACTCCTGAATGAGTGAATAAATAAAATAAATTAGTGATTTATACTATTTTTTCCTTACATGTCAAGGGACCCTTAGTGAACCATCCGTTACGGGTTTGACACATTTTCAAGAAAATGTATGTACATTACAGTAAATTCATAGTCTGTTGATTACATCTTCTGGTGATCACCTGACCACAATAATATGAAAGAATTAAATAAAAAGAAATGGTACATTATATAAATAGTATATTATTACCTTTTTCTGAGGTCGTGGAACCCAGTAGATGGGAAGAATGGCGATGAGGAGATGCTGGAGCTGGAGGAAGGAGAGGTGGAGGAGACCATGCCAGTGTCGGGTAAAACCCCCTCAGGGTTATCCATCCCTGGGCTAGCCTCCTCGGTCTTCTGGGTCCCCCGGGACTGCTGCCTCCTCTGACGGAGCCGCTGGCTGGCTGAGTGGTTCTGGGGGTGCCTCATGCACAGCAGGGCAGGAAGCCAGACCAGGAACATAACTTTAACCCAGGGGAGCATGGCGTGTGTGCTGGGGGAACGGTGATGGACGTTCAGAACACACACACTGGTGATGATAGAGAAGGTAACGAGAACCATGGTGAACATCAGGTATTTACCTGATCAGATCAGAGAGAGGGGAGAGTGAAGAAGCATCTCATTTAATAATGTTGTTATGCGATGTTGTTTTTCTAATAAAAAAATGTTAAACTTTAACCCCTACTTAACACTAAGCTTATACAGTTGAAGTCGGAAGTTTACATACACCTTAGCTAAATACAGTTAAACTCAGTTTTTCACAATTCCTGACATTTAATCCTAGTAAAGATTCCCTGTCTTAGGTCTGTTACGATCACCACTTTATTTTAAGAATGTGAAATGTCAGAATAATAGTAGAGAGAATGATTTATTTCAGCTTTTATTTATTTCATCACATTCCCAGTGGGTCAGAAGTTTACATACACTCAATTAGTATTTGGTAGCATTGCCTTTTAAATTGTTTAACTTGGGTGAACTTTCACACAAAGTCACCAGCACCATGGTGAATATCAGGGCCTGTGTGCACAAAGCATCTAGGATCAGGTAGGAGTGCTGATCTAGGATCAGGTCCCCCCCTGGAAATATAATCTTATTCATTATGATCTAAAAGGTAAAACTGATTCCAGATCAGCACTCCTACTCGATCAGTACTCTTTGTTAATACTGGCCCTGGTACAGAGCTCACCGATCAGGGGCACGTCCAGCGAGGTTGGTGGTACTATCTTAGATATCAGCAGCAGGAAGACAGTGAGGGCCAACAGTACAGAGACACACAGACTGATCTTCTCTCCACAGTCACTGGGCAGGTAGAAGACCAACACAGCCAGAGACGTGATGAGGACACAGGGGATGATCAGGTTGATTGTGTAGAACAACGGCTTCCTGGGAATAAATTGAATTGAGCAGAATTTAATTGAATCTTATTTTGGGTAACAAATAATACATCAACAAGACGTGTAGCCTATGATCCCAGATGATAGCACATGAAAGCATGAATGAAAACAAGCATTTCCAAAGTGGTCCTTGATCGTAAAATGAATAACATCTTATGCTAAAAGACAAAGTTAAAAAACAAAGATATTGCAAACATTTGAAGAATAAGATAAAATGGCACTATATATTCATTCCTCTTGATCAGGAAGTCGTAGGTCACATCCACGTAGATGGGCTCTGAGCCGGAGATAGTACGCCGCCCGGGTAAAGCCAAGATGTCCCACTCTCCACTGGGTGTGAAGTCATCCATACTGGCCACACCTGTCCTGAGGACCAGATCCACCTGATTTGATTGGATTTAGATTTGACAATTAAAATACATATGAAGCTGATCGAGTCTGAAACAACAATGCATACACACACACACGTAACCGGTTACAGGACCTAAGGCGTTTGACGACAGTTCCTATTTCACAGTAGAGCCGTCTGAAAAAGCTATTATTATAAACAATTATTATAAAACATTTGGGGCAGAAATGCCTTCTTGAACATGTGAACATTCATGCGCCTTAATTACAAATTTGTATGGGATCAAATCAAATCAAATTGTATTTGTCACATGCGCCGAATACAACAGGTGTAGACCTTACAGTGAAATGCTTAATTACAAGCCCTTAACCAGCAATGCAGTTCAAGAAATAGAGTTAAGAAAATATTTACTAAATAAACTAAAGTATAAAATAAAATAAAAAGTAACACAATAAAATAACAATACCGAGGCTATATACAGGGGGTAACGGTACCGAGTCAATGTGCGGGGGTACAGGTTAGTCGAGGTAATTTGTACATGTAGGTAGGGGTAAAGTGACTATGCATTGATAATAAACAGCGGGTGGCCATTTGATTAATTGTTCAGCAGTCTTATGGCTTGAGGGTAGAAGCTGTTAAGGAGCCTTTTGGACCTAGACTTGGCCCTCTGTTACCGCTTGCCATGCGGTAGCAGAGAGAACAGTCTATGACTTGAGTGACTGGAGTCTTTGACAATTCTCTGGGCCTTCCTCTGACACCACCTAGTATATAGGTCCTGGATGGCAGGAAGCTTGGCCCCAGTGATGTACTGGGCTGTACGCACTACCCTCTGTAGTGCCTTACGGTCGGATGCCGAGCAGTTGCCATACCAGGCGGTGATGCAACCGGTCAGGATGCTATCGATGGGGTGCAGCTGTATAACTTTTTGAGGATCTGGGGACCCATGCCAAATCTTTTCAGTCCCCTGAGGGCCTCCTTTTCCTGTAGTTCACGATCATCTCCTTTGTCTTGCTCACGTTGAGGGAGAGGTTGTTGACTCTGACCTACCACTCTTGTGTCGTCAGCAAACTTAATGATGGTGTTGGAGTCGTGCTTGGCCATGCAGTCGTGGGTGAACAGGGAGTACAGGAGGGGACTAAGCATGCATGACTGAGGGCCCCCGATGTGTTGTTGCCTACCCTTACCACCTAGGGGCGGACCGTCAGGAAGTCCAGGATCCAGTTGCGGAGGGAGGTGTTTAGTCCCAGGGTACTTAGCTTAGTGATGAGCTTTATGGGCACTATGGTGTTGAACGCTGAGCTGTAGTCAATGAATAGCATTCTCACATAGGTGTTCCTTTTGTCCAGGTGGGAAAGGGCAGTGTGGAGTGCGATTGAGATTGCGTCGTCTGTGGATCTGTTGGGGCGGTATGCAAATTGGAGTTGGTCTACGGTTTCCGGGATGATGGTGTTGATGTGAGCCATGACCAGCCTTTCAAAGCACTTCATGGCTACCGACGAGAGTGCTACGGGGCGGTAGTCATTTAGGCAGGTTTCCTTCGCTTTCTTGGGCACAGGGACTATGGTGGTCTGCTTGAAACATGTAGGTATTACAGACTCGCTCAGGGAGAGGTTGAAAATGTCAGTGAAGACACTTGTCAGTTGGTCCGCGCATGCTCTGAGTACACGTCCTGGCAATCCATCTGGCCCTGCGGCCTTGCGAATGTTGACCTGTTTAAAGGTCACATCGGTTACAGAGAGTGTGATCACACATTTAGCCCGTCTTGTAGGCTTTTGTCACTGGGCAGCTCGCGGCTGGGTTTCCCTTTGTATTCCGTAATAGTTTGCAAGCACTGCCACATCCGACGAGCATCAGAGCCGGTGTAGTAGGATTCAATCTTAGTCCTGTATTGACCCTTTGCCTGTTTGATGGTTCGTCTGAGGGCATAGCGGGATTTCTTATAAGCGTCCGGATTAGTTTCCCGGTCCTTGAAAGCGGCAGCTCTAGCCTTTAGCTCGGTGCAGATGTTGCCTGTAATCCATGGCCTCTGGTTGGGGTACGTACGGTCACTGTGGGGACAACGTCGTCGATGCACTTATTGATGAAGCTGGTGACTGAGGTGGTATACTCCTCAATGCCATTGAATGAATCCCGGAACATATTCCAGTCTGTGCTAGCAAAATAGTCCTGTAGTGTAGCATCCGCGTCATCTGACCACTTCTGTATTGAGCGAGTCACTGGTACTTCCTGCTGTAGTTTTTGCTTGTAAGCAGGAATCAGGAGGATATAATTATGGTCTGATTTGCCAAATGGAGGGCGAGGGAGAGCTTTGTATGTGTCTCTGTGTGTGGAGTAAAGGTGGTCTAGTTTCTTTTCTCCTCTGGTTGCACATGTGACATGCTGGAAGAAATGAGGTAAAACAGTTTGCCTGCATTAAAGTCCCCGGCCAATAGGAGCGCCGCTTCTGGATGAGCATTTTCTTGTTTGCTTATTGCCTTATACAGCTTGTTGAGTGCAGTCTTAGTGCCAGCATCGGTTTGTGGTGGGAAATAGATGGCTATGAAAAATATAGATGAAAAATTTCTTGGTAGATAGTGTGGTCTACAGTTTATCATGAGGTACTCTACCTCAGGCAAGCAATACCTCGAGACCTCTTTAATATTAGACATCACGCTGTTATTGACAAATAGACCCCCACCCCCCACCCCTAGTCTTACCAGACGTAGCTGTTCTGTCCTGCCGATGCACGGAAAACCCAGCCAACTGTATATTATCCATGTCGTCATTCAGCCACGACTCAGTGAAATATTACAGTTTTTAATGTCCCTTTGGTATGATAGTTTCGAGCGAGATCATCCAGTTTATTTTCCAGTGATTGCATGTTGGCCAATAGAACGGATGGTAGAGGCAGGTTACCCACTCGCCAACGAATTCTCACAAGGCACACCGATCTCCGCCCCCTGTATTTCCGTCTTTTCTTCACGCGATTGACAGGGTCTCGGAGAAGCAGTATATCCTGTAGCTCAGCTGGTAGAGCACGGCGCTTGTAACGCCAAGGTAGTGGGTTCGATCCCCGGGACCACCCATAGACAAAAAAAAAAAATGTATGCACGCATGACTGTAAGTCGCTTTGGATAAAGCGTCTGCTAAATGGCATATTATTATTATTATTTATCCTTCGCGTCGGACTCATTAAAGAAAACATCTTCATCCAGTTCGAAGTGAGTAATTGCTGTTCTGATATCCAGAAGCTCTTTTCAGTCATAAGAGACGTCTGCTGCATTGAAGGTCCCCAAGAACACAGTGGCCTCCATCATTCTTAAATGGAAAAAGTATGGAACCACCAAGACTCTTCCTAGAGCTGGCTGCCCGGCCAAACTGAGCAATCTGGGGAGAAGGGCCTTGGTCAGGGAGGTGACCAAGAACCCGATGGTCACTCTGACAGAGCTCCAGAGTTCCTCTGTGGAGATGGGAGAACCTTCCAGAAGGACAACCATCTCTGCAGCACTCCACCAATCAGGCCTTTATGGTAGATTGGCCAGACGGAAGCCACTCCTCAGTAAAAGGCACATGACAGCCTGCTTGGAGTTTGCCAAAAGGCACCTGAAGGCTCTCAGACCATGAGAAACAAGATTCTCTGGTCTGACGAAACCAAGATTGAGGGAAGGGTTTGGCCGGGGGGGAGGCTTTACCTGGCTTTAGCATCTCCTTGTGTCGAGCCGGGTGCCTGCAGGCTGACCCCGGTTGCCAGTTGAACAGTGATTCCTCCAACACATTGGTGCGACTGGCTTCCGGGTTAAACTGGCGGGTGTTAAGGAGCGCGGTTAGGCGGGTCATGTTTCGGAGGACGCATGACTCCGCCTTCGCCTCTCCCGAGCCCATTGGGGGCAAAATACAACAACAAAAAATATAGAAAAATACATTATTATTATTATTTACCATTCTTTATACTGGGTACAAAATAATCTGAAACACAACCAAAAACTAACAGCAAATGCATCCAACAAGTTTGTAGTCAGAAGCTTGATGTAGTCATTGAGTGCTAAGAATATGGAACCAAATACTAAACTTTTGACTACTTTATTTATAAGAATCTTTAGGGGTGTCTGTTGTGACCCCTACATTTTTTTGAAAAAAAGTATTACTTGTTAAACAAAATCACTTTCTCTGAGCAATTGTATTAGTATAAAATAATATAATTTCCCCATTTTTTGAAGCATATAATAGATTTAAATCATATATTTATACACTATTTATTATATACAGTCATTATTGCTCATCTTTATCAAGGGTGTCAATAATTTCAGACCCATCCTATATAGCTCATCCTATATAACTACAGCTGTACATACCTTTCCTATTTACATATTGTCCATACTGTCTATACACACCACGTATTTACATTCCGGCCTCTGACATTGTTCCTTCTGACATTTCTTAATTTCTTTTTTTGTATGTGTGGGGGGGGGGGGGGGGGGGGGGGGGGGGGGGGGGTAGTATTTGTGTATTAGTATTGTACTGTTAGACATTTACCGCACTGCTGGAGGTAAAAACACAAGCATTTCGCTGCACCTGCTTTAACATCTGCTAATCTGTGTATGTAATAAATCAACTTTGATTTGATGTGTGGGTGGGATGGGGCTAAAAACATGCTGACCACACCGCTCGCCGCAAAATAAATGTACACCTGGTATTCAATCATTGCACCCACACTGCTTGCGCGCGTTTGCGTCGCCTGGCCCTAAAATAGAACTTGGTTCTATTTGTGACGCTCGACGCGCTGCAAGTCCCGCCTCTCCCATCTCCTCATTGGTTTTTAGGAGCATATTCCCACGTGGTTGACTGAAAGATGAACTGAGGTACACACTCCAGTCCAGTTGGTGGGGGTAATGCATCTTAAAGTTGGTCGCCAACCGCCATATAAAATCCAAAGAAGAAGAAGAAGCCTGAAGGAGGAGATTACTAGAAACAAACTCGGTTTACCCTTTTATCTGTGGATTAATTGTCGGAGTAGTGGACCTTGTGCATTTCAGGTAAAATAACAACCCAATGTATATATCCCAGGACAAATTAGCAAGCTAGCTAGCTAAATTGACAAATATTTAATGCTTTTCGACCTGTCCCCAAATGAATATAGTTGGTTCAGAGTTTGTTTTTATATTTCAACCTGCGTGTCCTGATTGCGTCTGGTGTTGGTCGACAAAATCAACATGCGCGTGATGGCGCATGGGTCTAGTCAGCATGTAAAGGCTTAAGCAGGTGTGAATGATGCTGAATGGGTGTAATCAAAGAAGAGCTCTCTAGGAAGTGTATAAATCTCAGCAAATTCTTTCAAAGGGCATTTTCTCCTACAAGTGTATCAACGTTTAAAGCAGCATGACTTTCCCATGTTTCCTCCAACCACAGTGCATGATATACCATTTATAAGCCTCAATAGACATATTCCATTTAGCAGACATTTTTATCCAAAGCGACAGTCATGCGTGCACTGCATACATTTTAAGTACGGGTGGTACCAGGAATCGAACCCAATATCCAGGCGTTGCAAGCGCCATGCTCTACCAACTGAGCTACAGAAGACCACAATAACAAGGATAAAAATAAGTTTCCATTTATTACCTCAGTGTGGTCGTAGGTCCACGAGCGGAACTTCAGGGTGCAGTTCTGCTGGTCGAAGGGGAAGTGTTTGACCTTGATCTTGCAGGCACTCTTATAGATAGCTGGAGGGAGCCAGAAGATGGTGCCGTTGGACAGGACGATGGCGTTGGTGAAGACTGTCACCTCATAGATACCATCAGCACTACAGGGGAGGGAGGACACGTCAGTGAGATTTTAGGCTCTCAGAATAACAGCGTTGAATATCTTTCACTGTCTGTGTATTCCCAGCAGCATCATAACATTGACTACACAATCATGTTTAAAGCACATACTTTTCCTGGAGGGTTTGATACTAACTTGTTGTACAGTACAATATCTGGGAGCCATATATGTCGGGAGGGAATGCGGAGCTTGTCAATCCCATCAAAGTCTGAGGGCTCCCATGACAGCCTGTAATCAACCCAGTTCTACGGCGAGAAGGATGGTTATTAGTAGTAGCAAGAGGTAAATCACTCACCTTCACCATAATGTTGTGTTCAATAATGACACTACACTATATACTATATGTATTCTGGACAGACGATCGTTCTTTTCCTCTATAATCTCACCTGTGTTAACCAGACATTGGTGATCATGATTTGTTCCCTTTCATGCTACAAAATAAGACATATTGTTTAATATGTATCCAACTTTTACGAATTCCATTACATTTTGTAATTTGAATATACTGTAAACAACGAAAATGAAAGAACTGAACTCTCACCACACTGATACAACACAATTACAAAACAAAACAGTAAAGTACAATAGAATCCAATACAATACAATCGAATACAACAAACCCACCACACTGATCAGTTGTGCCAGGGAGACCTGCAGTGTGATGGTGACCGGTTCAAACCGGTTACTGGCTGGTCGTATCAGCTTGTTGTAGTGTTCTCTACTCAGTAGCCACTTCAGCAACCTCTCCTCGGAGTCTGCACATAGACCACCTGGAAATAAAAGACAATATTCTAAAGCAATGAGGAATTGGAGTGTCAGTTTCCTTCCTAAATTGACTGAATGTGTTTTAATGTAAAACAAAGGTACCGTGAAAGGCGAGGTGTGAGGATGTACACTACTGGTCAAAGGTTTGGACACCTACTCATTCAAGGGTTTTTCTTAATTTTTTTTACTATTTTCTACATTTTAGAATAATAGTGAAGACATCAAAACTATGAAATAACACATATGGAATCATGTAGTAACCAAAAAAAGTGTTCAACAAATCAAAATATATTTTATATTTGAGATTCTTCAAATATCCACCTTGTCCCACTATGCAAAGAGTGTGCAAAGCTGTCATCAAGGCAAAGGGTGGCTATTTGAAGAATCTCAAAAATAAAATATATTTTGATTTGTTTAACACTTTTATGGTTACTACATGATTCCATGTGTCGTATTTCATAGTTTTGATGTCTTCACTATTATTCTACAATGTAAAAAAATTATAAAAATAAAGAAACCCTTGAATGAGTAGGCGTGACAAACTTTTGACCGGTAGTGTAGGTCAAATATGTTTTGGCATATTTTTTTGCGCATTGCAAAATTGGAATAGAACTAGCAACATTTCGGTTACTGGTCCAACACTCAGCTTCCTGCCGCCCTTATATACTATATACACAGTACCTTGCAAAAGTATTCATCCCCCTTGGCGTTTTTCGTTGCATTACAACCTGTAATTTAAATGGATTTTTATTTTTATTTAATGTAATGGACATACACAAAATAGTCAAAATTGGTGAAGTGAAATGAAAAAAATAACTTGTTTCAAAAAATTATGAAAAAAAATAACGGAAAAGTGGTGCGTGGGTATGTATTCACCCCCTTTGCTATGAAGCCCCTAAATAAGATCTGGTGCAGCAACTTACCTTCAGAAGTCACATAATTAGTTAAATAAAGTCCACCTGTGTGCAATCTAAGTGTCACATGATCTGTACATCTCAGCATATACACTTGTTCTGAAAGGCCCCAGAGTCTGCAACACCATTAAGCAAGGGGCACCACCAAGCAAGAAGCACCATGCAGACCAAGGAGCTCTCCAAACAGGTCAGGGACAAAAAAAGATCTGAAACTTTGAACATCCCGCAGAGCACCATTAAATCCATCATTAAACATTTTAAAGAATATGGCACCACAACAAACCTGCCAAGAGAGGGCCACCCACCAAAACTCACGGCCCAGGCAAGGAGGGCATTAATCAGAGCGGCAACAAAGAGACCAAAGATAACCCTGAAGGAGCTGCAAAGCTCCACAGCAGAGATTAGAGTATCTGTCCATAGGACCACTTTAAGTCAAATACTCCACAGAGCTGGGCTTTATGGAAAAGTGGCCAGAAAAAAGCCATTGCTTAAAGACAAAAATAAGCAAACACGTTTGGTGTTCGCCAAAAGGCATGTGGGAGACTCCCCAAACATATGGAAGAAGGTACTCTGGTCAGATGATGTTTTTCATCGGCAGGGACTGGGAAACTGGTCAGAATTGAAGGAATGATGGATGGCGCTAAATACAGGGAAATTATTGAGGGAAACCTGTTTCAGTCTTCCAGAGGTTTGAGACTGGGACGAAGGTTCACCTTCCAGCAGGACAATGACCCTAAGCATACTGCTAAAGCAACACTCAAGAAATGTAAGGGGAAACATTTAAATGTCTTGGAATGGCCTAGTCAAAGCCCAGACATTTTACATTACATTTACATTTTAGTCATTTAGCAGACGCTCTTATCCAGAGCGACTTACAGGAGCAATTAGGGTTAAGTGCCTTGCTCAAGGGCACATTTACGTCATTTAGCAGACGCTCTTACAATGGGGAAAAAAGTATTTAGTCAGCCACCAATTGTGCAAGTTCTCCCACTTAAAAAGATGAGAGAGGCCTGTAATTTTCATCATAGGTACACGTCAACTATGACAGACAAAATGAGGGAAAAAAATCCAGAAAATCACATTGTAGGATTTTTAATTAATTTATTTGCAAATTATGGTGGAAAATAAGTATTTGGTCAATAACAAAAGTTTCTCAATACTTTGTTATATACCCTTTGTTGGCAATGACACAGGTCAAACGTTTTCTGTAAGTCTTCACAAGGTTTTCACACACTGTTGCTGGTATTTTGGCCCATTCCTCCATGCAGATCTCCTCTAGAGCAGTGATGTTTTGGGGCTGTCGCTGGGCAACATGGACTTTCAACTCCCTCCAAAGATTTTCTATGGGGTTGATCTGGAGACTGGCTAGGCCACTCCAGGACCTTGAAATGCATCTTACGAAGCCACTCCTTTGTTGCCCGGGCGGTGTGTTTGGGATCATTGTCATGCTGAAAGACCCAGCCACGTTTCATCTTCAATGCCCTTGCTGATGGAAGGAGGTTTTCACTCAAAATCTCACGATACATGGCCCCATTCATTCTTTCCTTTACACGGATCAGTCGTCCTGGTCCCTTTGCAGAAAAACAGCCCCAAAGCATGATATTTCCACCCCCATGCTTCACAGTAGGTATGGTGTTCTTTGGATGCAACTCAGCATTCTTTGTCCTCCAAACACGACGAGTTGAGTTTTTACCAAAAAGTTATATTTTGGTTTCATCTGACCATATGACATTCTCCCAATCCTCTTCTGAATCATCCAAATGCACTCTAACAAACTTCAGACGGGCCTGGACATGTACTGGTTTAAGCAGGGGGACACGTCTAGCACTGCAGGATTTGAGTCCCTGGTGGCGTAGTGTGTTACTGATGGTAGGCTTTGTTACTTTGGTCCCAGCTCTCTGCAGGTCATTCACTAGGTCCCCCCGTGTGGTTCTGGGATTTTTGCTCACCGTTCTTGTGATCATTTTGACCCCACGGGGTGAGATCTTGCGTGGAGCCCCAGATCGAGGGAGATTATCAGTGGTCTTGTATGTCTTTCATTTCCTAATAATTGCTCCCACAGTTGATTTCTTCAAACCAAGCTGCTTACCTATTGCAGATTCAGTCTTCCCAGCCTGGTGCAGGTGTACAATTTTGTTTCTGGTGTCCTTTGACAGCTCTTTGGTCTTGGCCATAGTGGAGTTTGGAGTGTGACTGTTTGAGGTTGTGGACAGGTGATAACAAGTTCAAACAGGTGCCATTAATACAGGTAATGAGTGGAGGACAGAGGAGCCTCTTAAAGAAGAAGTTACAGGTCTGTGAGAGCCAGAAATCTTGCTTGTTTGTAGGTGACCAAATACTTATTTTCCACCATAATTTGCAAATAAATTCATTAAAAATCCTACAATGTGATTTTCTGGATGATTTTTTTTCAATATGTCTGTCATAGTTGACGTGTACCTATGATGAAAATTACAGGCCTCTCTCATCTTTTTAAGTGGGAGAACTTGCACAATTGGTGGCTGACTAAATACATTTTTTCCCCACTGTATCCAGAGCGACTACAAATTGGTGCATTCACCCTATAGCCAGTGGGATAACCACTTTACAATTATACTATTTATTTTTATTTTTATTTATTTTTTTGGGGGGGGGGGGGGGGGGGGTAGAAGGATTACTTTATCCTATCCCAGGTGTTCCTTAAAGAGGTGGGGTTTCAAATGTCTCCGGAAGGTGGTGAGTGACTCCGCTGTCCTGGCCAATTGAGAATCTGTGGTATGACTTAAAGATTGCTGTACACCAGTGGAACCCATCCAACTTGAAGGAGCTGCAGCAATTTTGCCTTGTGTTTTGCTAGATGTGCCAATTTTGCTAGATGTGCCAAGCTTATAGAGACATACCCAAGAGACTTACATTTACATTTACGTCATTTAGCAGACGCTCTTATCCAGAGCGACTTACAAATTGGACTTGCAGCTGTAATTGCTGCAAAAGGTATTTTTGATATTCTTTCTTAAAACGGCATTGTTGGTTAAGGGCTTGTAAGTAAGCATTTCACTGTAAGGTCTACACCTGTTGTATTCGGCGCATGTGACAAATTAAATTTGATTTGATTTGAAAAGGTGGCGCTACAAAGTATTGACTTTGGGGGGGTGAATAGTTATGCAATTCACCCCCCCTGTTTTTTTTTGTCTTATTTCTTGTTTGTTTCACAATAACAAATATTTTGCATCTTCAAAGTGGTAAACATGTTGTGTAAATCAAACGATACAAACCCCCCCAAAATACATTTTAATACCAGGTTGTAAGGCAACAAAATAGGAAAAATGCCAAGGTGGGTGAATACTTTCGCAAGCCGCTGTAGTAGGTGGCGCAGTGGTCTAAGGCACTGCATCGCAGTGCTAGCTGTGCCACTAGAGATCCTGGTTCGAATCCAGGCTCTGTCGTAGCCGGCCGCGACCGGGAGACCCATGGGGCGGCGCACAATTCGTCCAGGGTAGGGGAGGGAATGGCCGGCAGGGATGTAGCTCAGTTGGTAGAGCATGGCGTTTGCAACGCCAGGGTTGTGGGTTCGATTCCCACGGGGGGCCAGTATGTAAAATAAATACATAAAGAATGTGTGCACTAACTGTAAGTTGCTGTGGATAAGAGCGTCTGGTAAATATAGGAAGGAGATATATTATAGAAAGTATCAAAGGCAGGGAAACTCATCCTATACCCAGTAAATAAACCAATAATCTGTTTGTATTTATTATGGATCCCCATTAGCTCCTGACAAGGCAGCAGCTACTCTTCCTGGGGTCCAAACACATACAAGCACTTACATTACACATAAAACAGTACATCATATATTATTATTACAATACAAAATGTATAATACCACCATACGTTATTTCAACGTACGTGCATGTAGTGCGCTAGCCTTTGTGTCTCTTCACAGTCCCCGCTGTTCCATAAGGGGTATTTTTATGTTTTTTTTTCAATCTGATTCTACTGCTTGTATCCATATTCCAGAACAATCTAAAATCCTATTTCCAACCAGTAAATAAACAAATAGTCTGTTGTATCCATATTCCCTAATGTATCCAGAACAATCTAAAATCCCAACCTCTCCTCTGAGTCTGCACCTAGACCAGCAGAGAAGATTATATTCAACCAGACACTTCCCACGTGACA